TAGTCCAAATCTAGAGGTTTGGGAAAAGGCAAACGGGAAAGGTTTGAACCGTTACTGAAATTTAAAAAAAAAAAGAACCCCTACAATTCCAGGTTATTTCACTCCAAAAACAGAAGGGAAAAAAAAAGTAACGTTTCCAAGATTTAAGGCGTTCCTGGCAAGGGAAGTTCAGAAGGCAGCTCCCCTTTCTGAAAACCAGCCCTTTGTGCTCCATAAATGAAAGGCCGGCTTCTGGACCCTCTCCAAGGGCAGCCCCAAGGGACGCGCCTGGCAGTCCTCCAGCAGGCGTCGTCACCAGGGNACTCCTCTCCTTTCGACGGCACCGGGGGCGCTCCTGCCGAAGACCGGGCATCCAGGCTCAGGGGCAGATCCGGGAACGCCCTGCTTCCCCAAACTGCCCGGCGGGGTGTCTTCAGAGGGAGCGCCATCCCCGTTCCTCGCTCCGCCTTTCGACAGACCAGGAGCACCTCCGACTCTGGATTAGACTTCAGCTCGTTTACCTTCCTCCCGCCCACGACGGCACCGGGGGCGCTCCTGCCGAAGACCGGGCATCCAGGCTCAGGGGCAGATCCGGGAACGCCCTGCTTCCCCAAACTGCCCGGCGGGGTGTCTTCAGAGGGAGCGCCATCCCCGTTCCTCGCTCCGCCTTTCGACAGACCAGGAGCACCTCCGACTCTGGATTAGACTTCAGCTCGTTTACCTTCCTCCCGCCCATGACTGACCCCGGGCACCAGCTGAGAACCGAGGAGGCTTCCTTGGAATGAGGCGGAAAGGCCAAAGGGGAGCCGGGCGTGCTGATGATGACAGTGAGCCCCCAAAACCTGGACCGTCTCTCCTGAAGCAGTTTCATTGTTTTGTCGAGCAGGAGCCCCCCCCCCAGGCTGAGTTCTCTCCTCCAGGAAGGGCCAGGGCTGTCGTAAAACAGTGGCCCCCAAGATCCGTCCCGGAGAGATGTTCTCTCCTCCAGGAAGGGCCAGGGCCGTCCTAAAACAGTGGCCCCCAAGACCCGTCCCGGAGAGACGGAAACCAGAACGAAGGCTGTCTTGGTTGGTGATGTCAAAAGCCACCCCGAGAGGTCCACCAGAACCCGCCAAGGACTCGCTGTCCTGGGTCCAATTCCTTGGCCCAAAGCCGCCTTTGGGGAGCAGGACGTGCAGCAAATGTGCCTTGTTGCTTGAAGGTGATAAAGCCACGACGGCTGACGGGCAGAGGAGTTACCGCTCTTTTCTGTTCTTCTTTCCCCCTAGGCTTCCTTTCCTGGTTCCGAAACGGCTTGCTGGCTACTGGCGTTGGAGTCATATCTTACGTGCAGAGTGACATGGGGCGAGAAGCGGCTTATGGTGGGTAACAGACAAGGGGTTATGGGTGGAGGACACCAAAAGGTAGTCTTAGGGTTGGCTTCTGGAGCTAAAACACTCCCTCAGTAGAACAGAATCCCTTTCACAGCGTCGTTTACCCGGGCCATCCCAGCAACACCTGATGCAGCCCCACGGGGTGGCTTTCAATTGGAGATGGGCATGAGCCTTAGTTTGGAGGTTCAGCCCAATTTGTCACTGCGCTTGCACAGGTGTTGTGAGGGCACTGCGCTCTCTGGCACACACTCACCCATTCCTCAGGTGAGGCGCACTTCCCTCCTTGCCTTCCTAGTGCAACAGTCCGCCCACCTTTTGCAGCATGCTCGTCCCTCTTCTGCCTCCCCTGTCAGCCGCCCACTCAGATGCGGAGGCAGGGCAGGAATTCCTGCAACATTCCTTTTGAGTGGGCCGCGGATGGAGAAGGCGGAAGAGGGAAGAGCACACTGCAACAGGGAGTGGGTAGTCACGGTGGGAAGCATCATCTCCAAAGGAATGGTTAAAGGTGCAGGAGAGGGAGGGCGCTGTGCCCACGCAATACCCGTGCGAGTGTGGCAATGATTTGGGCCCGACGTCCGAATCAGGGTTCCCTCTAAGCTGAGGTGTGCCTCTGCCTCCCTCCGCGCAGCTCTCTTTCTCCTCTGCACAGTGATCTCATTAGGTTCTAGTCAGGATGGAACCCTGTGCAAGGGGGGGGTGAGTCATATGCACACACAGGAGGGGCGGAGTCACATTTGTGAGAGGCGGAGCTGAAAGTTAGAGGGTACATTGCTGCGAACCAAGGTTTGTGCCCACCTCTCCTGGCCGTTCCTAGTCCATTCTTCAGTTCAGTCAGGAAATTGATGAATAGATGTAGACAAAACCTCTGTTGCCTCGGCCTCTCCCTTTTAATATAGAAGGCCACTGGCCTGCCTCTCAGGGCTGGTGTCAGCCTTCTCCAGACCAAGGGTTTACCTCCAGAGCCCGTGCTTGAGAATCAGCCAAACTCTTCTAATCTGTCAATTGGGTCAGGAGGCCCACTGTAGTCTCCACCCCCCCCATCTGTTGTGCCAGAGGAGGGTCCCAGCCCACCAGCTGTATGGCTTGTATAGCCGAGCAGGGAGACCCCGTGCCTCATTTTTACCATTTTTAGTCAAACAGTTTCTTTTGACTCTGAAATACAGCAGGTTTCCCACCATCGGCGAGGCTTTAGCAGCCTGTGGGGCTTAAGCGTAGCAGGAGTATTAAATCTGACCTGCCTCGCAGGGAGCGAAAATGGCTTCTGCCGACTGGACTGAGATGTCCCGGCCCGCTGGGGGAGCACGGGCCCCGTTCTCCAGCCGGTTGCTGTGTAGCAAAAGACCTACAAAGAGGTTTTGAAGCCGTTTCTGCATCAGTGGTCTGTTGACCTTGTAGCGCTGTGGGGAAGAGTCATTCTTGTAAAGTTTTATGAGCTAATTGGCCATTAGAGCCTCTGAATGGAGTAAGTCAATCGTCTTGAAAGAGGCTCCGCTAACATTTCGGACTCTTAATAGCCTCGGTGAGGTCATCTTCCATAAACAGCCTCCAGGAGAGCCAGCGATTTTACAGCCTAGACGGTCGGGCAAGGACGTGTGAAGGAGTGGCTTTGCACGGTGACCCTCCAGGCAGTGGCTTGTCCCTCGGAAAACAGCAGGGCCAGAATCCGCCTGGGATTCTGCAAAAGGGCAGCCTGTGGTGGCCATTGGAGAGGGAGGCCCTGACTGTCTGCTGCGCTGTGTGTAAATTCTTCGCTGGCCCTGAACCCTGAGGAAGGAGCAGGAGGTGTTGCAATTAGCAGCGGGAGGGAAGAAGTGCTTCCCGAAATGTGTCGATTCTTTTCAGTCGGGAAGGTGGCCACCGCAGGGGGATCGAGACCGGGATCTGGGTCTGGGAACCAAGCCCTCTGAAGAAGCATGGAGGGGACCAGGGAGGCTGGCCCTGCCAACTCCCATTTATTTGTGTCCTGCCTCAAAAATGCGTTTCTCAGTTTTGCCACAACGAGGCAGTGGTTCCTCGCACTTGAAGCAGTCCTGTAGCCTGTATGTTTCTTTGGAAAGAAGGACACCTGTGGATGAACAGGAGGCAAGAGAAAGGATAGTTCTGCTTGGCTTTTAGTTTCAAGGAAGGAGCCAGTAGGCACAGGCATGGCTCTCCCAATGGGCCATACAGAGTCCCATGGTAGGGTTTGAGCTAAAAAGAACACAGAAGAACTGGATCGGTGTCTCCTGTTCGTCCTAGACATGAATGGGTCGGAGCCTGGCATTACAGCCTGGATGACTTCTAGGCAGGTCCGGTTGTGGAGAAGCAGCCCCCCCCTTCCTGGCCCCTGCTCTTCTGAAGAGGGTGACCTTTGTCTTTCCTCCCAGGTTTCTTCATCCTTGGTGGGATCTGCGTCTCGTACGGCAGCATCTCCTACCTGACCAGCCTCTTCCTTCTCCGCCGGACCATGATGCTGTCTGTCTCTGTAGCTTTTCTGAACGGCGCGGCGGTCACCACAGTGGCGCTGTTCTGGCTGTGCGCCATCTCCCTCTACATTGGCCGCTTGGAGGTGGAGATCATCCAGGACGACACCAGCTTGGACAAGAAGAAAGATAATGGGAAGTCAGAGAAGTGAAGGCCAAACGGGCCCTTGGGACGTCCGGGACGGGGCCCCGCGGTCTCCGCCGTCAGGCCACCCGCATGCCGTGCCTGGGGCCTCTCCTGCTGCTTGGGCCAAAGGGCAAGGATAGAGGGATGGTTTCCACGCAGACAAGAGGGAAGGGGCAACGTGGGCAGCTTTGTATTTATTTCCCAGTCTCCAGGCAGGCGGTTGAGGCAAAAAAAAAAAAAAAAAAGGGTCATGGAGCGGACATTCTGCTGAGCTTGTCTTCGGCCGGGATCTCCTGCGCTTTTGACCGGTGAACGGCCCTTGGCTGTGCTCTCCCCCCGCCCCCGCCCCCTCTGCTTCTGCCAGGTTTGCAAGTGATAAAAGTTGTGTTTGCTGCAAGTACCCAAGTTGAGAGGCGGCTCTCTTCGCACTGCCTGTAGAGCCGGCCTTCACTTTTCCAGTGTTGCTTTAACTTCCGGGTCGCCAGACGTGTGGCCTCTTTATCAGAAGCATCTCTCTTTTGCGACCAGGTCACCGGTTCCGGTCTCCACCTGTTCAGATCAGTTGATGCTTCTATTAAAGCTACCAAAACCCATCTCTTCCGCGCTCTTTTTATGGGGGTGGATGGGTTAAGAGTCACCGTTGTCCTATATAAGCGCACATTTCCGTCTGGTGTTAACGGGCTTTAGCTGGGGCAGTCTATTCTCTCCACACGCACAGCACACTTCACACATTGCTGCCAGTGGGTAGTGCAGGAGAGGGGCATCTTTCCCCCCACCCCCAAGGGTGAGGAAGGCTCGTGAGATGAGGCGTGGAATCTACAGGCTTGCTGAAGTCATTCCTAGCCTGCAGATACAGTCCGAAGGGTACCCCGTACACCCTAGACACAGTCCAGCACTGGCGCCCGTTCTAGATTTCTCCTGGGGGGTGGGGGGGTGGATCTGAAATTCAAATGGCAAGGAGCCATCTGAGTTTCTGGGAATACCCCAGTGTAACACTGTCTTGAGTTGTCCAGGGCACAGCAAGAAGTTCCAACACAAGCTTGGCCAAGCCTTCCTTGGGAAAGGTCCACTGCCATGGACTTATGCCCGAGGGGCACAGGAGCCACCTTCTCCTGTGCCAGACCCCTGATCCATCTCTCCACACATTTTCAAGCTCTGATCCGGCTGTCCAGAGATTCAGGTCGTATCTTTGCTGAGCTCTGCTTAGAGCTCCCACCAGGGCCTGACCCTAGAAGGGCTTTCGTTCTATGGCTCTACCATAGAACTATTGCCCCCCCACCCTGCCCCCAGTACAGCACCTGTCTCTTGGTTGTGCTTTCCAACCCACGTATTCCTGAAGCGCGGCCCTTCTCCGCCTTCGGAAAAGAGGAGACAGGCGTGTCTGAGGTGGTAGCCAAGGGCCCGTCCTGTATTGGCCACCTTCCCTAGATGGAAAGGCGAATCAAGGCAATGCCAGCCGGGCCTCCATTCTCCTGAAGGGAAGGATTCTTGTCATCTCTCCATTCCCAGAAAGGGTTTTTTCCTTCCGATGCCTTGAAGGGGTCCAATACTTTGAAAACAGACCATTGCTATTAAGATGCTAATAGGGAAATCTGTGTGGTCAGTTCCTTCCTGCTTTCTGTGGCATCTTCTGCATGTGAGCATCTGCACCCATCGCTCCTGCCCAGACTGGTGGCTTGCACCGGGAGTGTGGCCGGAAGGCGTCTTCTTGGCTGGCAGTTGTTCAGGCAGAGAGCATATTGTGGCATCTTGCTTATTATCAGTGCTGAGTTTTCCTCTTTTTCCATGAATTGCGCCTTATATATACCAAGGTGGTTTTGCCTTTCTCACCAGGCATTTACAGCTTTCTCTGCCTTTGTTCCAGTTGCAAATTTAAGAGATTTCAAGATTTTGCTTATAAGCCACTGACAGACAGACATTTCAGAGGAAGCCACTTTCTGTTGGAAAGTTGCTTGGATGGTTTGGCCTGGTGTGCTTTCAAAAAAAACCACACACAACTGTGGTGTTCTTCCGGGGACTGTCAGGTGCATTAAAGGCTTTTAGTTGGAAGAGATTTTCGTTTCCTGTTAATTAACTCAGAATGGAGGATATGTAAGCTCTTAATTGCCGTAATATCCTATTGCTTTAACGGCATGACTTAAAACTGCAAGAGGGATTTACCAACCCTGCCAAGGTCCTTTTACAAATCAGGAAACGTATCCATTTATTTTTATTTTTGTCTGAAATCCCATATGCCCAAAGAAGCAGCAAAACATCAACAGGTGAACAGTGGAAGCTACATTTGTCTATCCAAGGAGATCAGGAGGTTAATAAAGGGGGTCGGGGGGGGAGAGGGAGGGAATCCCACACGCAGAGAGAGAAAGATCTTTAGCAATCTTTAGTTATACAGAACAGATCACAGGCTTGAAGTGCTACCGCCTTGCTGTGGGTTTTCCTTCCCACAACTACAAGTCTTCCTTTTAAGTGCTGAAAGTTAGGGTATACATTTTTACCATTTTTAAGTGCTGTCATCACACACACACACACACACGTACGTACACAAAAAAGGCTCCTTGATCCCGCTTTCCTCGCCTGCCATTTTGCTCCAGCAGAGACGTGAGCAGGATTCTCCCACTTGCGACCGAGACGTTTCTGTCGCTGGGAGAGCAGACTGAAGGGGAGCCAAGAGGGGGAGGACTAAAGGCTCAGACCCGCCCTGTAGACGAGGCCAGGTGTGCAGTTCCAGAAATGCACGAACGGGTCATAATGCAAGAGTTGCCCTATTCTCGCCCTCCGGGACTCCGAGAGAGGCTGCGAATTAGAAAGGTAACTTCCAGGCTCTGGCCACGGCAATCGGCCGCCGAGAGACAAGCACACCGATGAACAGGAGAGCTAAGGCGTGGGCAACTCCTTCAGGGCCCTCTTTCCCCCTTGGGTCTTTTCTAATAGTTTGGGAGTAACGATTTTTGGTTGTTTTAAAAGTTGTTCGTGTCCAATCTGGAGGCAAAGATAAATTGATCAGATCTGTGCATGATGTACCAAAGTGGGAAGGATACGAAGTCATCCCTTGAAGCGTCATTGGCTGAACATTCAAGAAAGATCAAAGGGAGAAGGTCACACATGGCACATGGTGGGACTATGGAACTCACTACCACAAGATGCATTGATGGCCACCAACTTCAAAGCTTTCCCAAAGTGGCTAGCAATGGCCACTTGTCCTTCTAGCTGTGTGTCTCCTCTGTCAGAGGCAATTGCATTTCATGGCCCTTTGCTGGGGGGGGCACAACCAAATGGGGTGTTGCTCTCAGGCAAGAGTTATGATCATCATCTTAGAACTGCAGAGCTGGAAGGGACCCCCAGGGATCATCAAGTCCAGCCCCTCTCAGGGAGGCCCAGTGGGGGAATCGAACTCCCAGCCTGCGACTCCGCAGCCATAGCTGAGCCACTGAGCCATCCAGCAGTTCAGCGTGAATTCCTCATCAAGTCCAGCCCCTCTCAGAGAGGCCCAGTGGGAGAATTGAACCAACTTCTGGCTCCACAGCCATAGCTAAGCCACTGAGCCATCCAGCAGTTCAGCATGAATTCCTACATTAGCTAGTGAGTTACATTCAATGACCCTTTGGGGAGATCCATTCCAACTCTGCAATTCTATGATTCTGCTACCTTTCTCATCTTCGCTTCGGTCTGATCCATAAGGGCTCCTCTAATGTTTCATTTGCCACTTTGTCCGCCCTGAGTCTTCATCGCCCTCTCAGAAGAGGTGCGGCCATAAGACCCTTGCAGCAGCCCCCCTCCCCACCGCCCCTCTCCTTGACCCTCTCTCTCTGATCTGAGCACAAGAGATCAAAGGATAAGCTCTTAATCCATTGTTTGCAGAAGGGGAACGGGCAGATCAAGCTGAGGAGGGGCCATGATATTTGAAAGGCAAGGCACGGAGGGCCCCCGTTGGCACAGAACCTCCACTCCGAGTTGTCTTGGCTCGGTAACGCGGAGCAGAACGTGTGGCCGAATCCCATGAATATTGCAAGGGACCAAACCGAAGCAAAAAGGGTTCACTGTTAGAGAAGAGGTGGGAATCAGCTTTCCTCTGCAGCTCTGCATGAATTACATTTGCCAGGGCTAGCAGGGAGAGAGTCCGGGCAACTGATTCACCCTGCAGGGCTCGAGCATAACCCCCCCCCCACACACACACACACACAAATGAAAGCAGAGGAGGAAGTAAAGCAGGACAACAGACAAGGGGGGGGGCACACCTGTTTCCTCCAGCTTGCACCTTTCCCAGAAAGGCTGCACAGACCCGATTCCACTTCCATTTACACAGGGCCAACCGCTGAACTCGCTGTTCGCAAACCACATCAGGGTCTGGGTAGCCCCAGGGGCCTTCCAAGCAAATCTCGGGGTGCTCTCCCTCCCTCTTGGCCCAGCGTCCTAGAAAGGGATGTTGCAAGAGGATAGCTGGACGGGGAGACCCAAGATTTGCCCTCCTGGTTTTCACCCCATGGGTGGAGCGCTCGCTCTGGGGCCGAGCGCTCCAGTCACCGCCGACACAGGATTATTATTTTTTTACCGGCCGCGTTGCTCAGCGCCTACTTTAGCTACGGTTTGGGGGCCAAAAGGAGATGCCCGCCTTGACGGCACCAAGTCCCCCCGGGGGGCTCAGTCCTCCTTGCGTTCCAAAGCTGAGGCACTGTGGACCCCGCCACCCGCCACCGAGAAGGGCAGGGCGGGAAAGAAGGAGTCCGTAGCCGCAAAGGCTCCCCCAGAGATCTGGGCCAAGCTGGCAGAGTTTCCAAACGGCGCCACCATGTTCAGCCGCTGCAGGTGGTGGTACATGAGTTCCCGGGAGGTCTTGGCCTCGGCGCCGCCAATGTCCATGAGGCTGAGAGGGTGAGCCGGGGGCAACAGGTTGCCCTGCACGGCTAGCGTCATGTCGGCGGGGGCGTACCGGATGGTGCTGGTGGCGTAGAGGCCCTGGGAGCCCGCCGCGCCGGCCTGGGGGCTTCCGAGCTGGTGCACCAGGGGCAGAACCACGTTGCCCGTGTGGAAGCGCTGGAGGACCTCCATCTCGGCAGGGTAGACCAGGGGGGTGAACGGGGTGGAGGCGGCCCCCTCCTCGCAGGGGGAGCCCGACAGCGGGGGCGAGAGGGTGTCCGCCGAAGAGGGGGCCGCCCGGGGAGAGGCGCCGAAGGGCCCTTTTCCCGTGCCACCCTCCATCTCGGGCGGCGTGAGCACGGAGTCCGGGATGGTGACGTACAGCTGGGAGGAGCCCTGCCTGGCCGGGGGCTTCTCCAGGCCCAGGGCTTTGTGCCCAGGGTAAGGGCTGCCCTTGTGGCCCCGGGGGCAGGTCCAGGGGGGCCCGGGGGCCCTCGACCCCTGCTCGGACTTGATGCTCAGCGCCGCGCTGGCTTTCAGAGCGGAGCTCTTTTGAGTTTGGATGACCGAGGTGAACTCGGACACGGTAGACCGGCTGGGCCCCAGGGTCCTCCGCCTGCCGGTCTGGCAGCCATTGGCCTTCCGGATCGGGCCGCCCCTCTGCTGCACGAGGAGACCAAGCTCCGACTCGCTGCCACTGCTGCTGTCGCTGCTGTCAGAGTCCTCCGAGCTGGCCCGCGAGGCCTCTTTTGCCTCGGCCAGAGGGCTCTCCGGCGGGAACTCCAGTTTGATGCGCTTGCCCGGAGGCCCCTCCGTGTCGCTCCCCCCAATGTCCTCCGAGGCCTCGTCATCCTGGTAGCTCGTTTCGGGGCCGCTGGAGTCAGTCTCCGCCAGGCGGCTGTGGGCTCCGCTCTCCATCCCGCTCCGTGCATAAGGCTCAGCCAGTGAGCAGGTCTTGTGGGGCGAGGGCAGCTTCGCCTGGCCCCCTTCCTTCGGGAGCCCACTCCCTGAAAAATAAAAGAGAAGGAGAAGGTGGGGTGGGGGTGGAAATCAGCCGGGCGGGAGCAGAAGGGAGGAGACCCCTTTCTGTGGGTTAAGTGAGATAGACGGGTTTAGTTTGTTGAATGAAATATTTATCCAGAGCTGGCTTGAGGGAGATTCAGATTGAGTTGCCGGGCTGCATCCGAGAAGGAGCCTCGCTCATAATCGCCACTGCAGGGCACAGCGGTACAGAAAGCAGCTAAACGCCAGAGTGAGTTGGGGAATTCAGACCGCCAGCCTTTGGCTTTGAGGGAGGAACCCACTGGGGAGAAGCTTCACATCCTCTCCCAGCGGCCGAGCGGAGACATGCAAGGAAGGCGCCTTGTGCAAAAAGCAGGGCCACCTATGAGCAGGCAGAAAGCTCCCCGCACCTGGGCAGACTGGCGTGATAAAAAGCCCCAAGAGAAGGTAGGGACTGCAATATTTACTGGCGGGTAAGACCATCAGGTGAGCGATGCTATAATAATGTGCTGTCAAGTCAGTTCTGACTTCGAGCAACACTTTTCAGAGTTTCGTGGGAAGGAAATGATCAGAAGAGGTTTGCTCATTCCCTTCAAGGGGTGCCCTGGGAAGACTGTGCAGCTGGCCCAAGGCGACCCAGGCTGGCTGTACTCCCAGGAGGCACACGGTGGGGCATCGAACCCCCCAACCTCTGAAGCCTGAACCACTGAGCTCTCCAGCTAGTCCCACACAGATTTACGGTAAAGTAAATTCCATTAACAGTTTTGCCTTTTTTTTCAGGCTGGCTCTACTCCCAGGAGGCACACGGTGGGGCATCAAACCCCCCAACCTCTGGCTCCCACAGCTAGAAGCCTAAACCACTGAGCTCTCCACCTAGTCCCACACAGATTTACGGTCAAGTAAATTCCATTAATAGTTTTGCCTTTTTTTTTTCCCTCGCCTCTTCCTGTTTCCTTCTTGTGAGCAAGGGAACGAGGTGGCAGCCAGCGCCAAACCCAGAAAGAAGCCCCTTGCAGAGGAAATTAAAGGGCTTCCACGGGGAGCGGATACTGGAGGGAGGAGCCGCGCTGCTCCCCGGATCGCCCCCTTCCAGCACGGCCAGTGGCAATCACAGTCCAACGAGGATGTTTCCCAGCTTTGGATCCGAAGCTGTACTTCACATTAGAAAGTTGGAAGAGGCATGCAGAATACTTGGGCATTTGGCACTGCTCTGTGCCCTGCAGCCACCCTGGCCGATCCTGTGGGGCAACCACAGCAACCTACACAATACGTTCCGTGGGCCTGGACCCTAGAGATGGCAACTCTCTCAAAAAGCCCATTGCTTCCTGTTACTCATTTATGGTGCTGGAAAAGCAGCCTCTTCCGGCAGGCTCTTCCCGCTCTTTGAGACCTGGAATGCTGGTTTGCAGCACGGCTTACAAATTTTTTGGTGACCTTTTGATGCAAGGGGGGGGGAGGTTTAAGATGAAAAGGAGAGGGTTACGAGACCGAAAAATTATTCTGTTCAGGTGCCTTTGCGAGCACGTTCTTTCAAAGGAACATTGGGAAGTAACTCGGAAATGTTACCTGTTACACCCGTAGAGGGACTTGGGTTGCATTTTTAATGTTAATCTGGAATGTAAAAACCAACAAGGGTGCTCACACTCTGAAAGGTAAACCTGTAACAACAGGGCTTGGAACGGGTGACGGCCAAGCTGTGACAGGGAGAGATCCCCACAGATGCCACCCCTGCTCAGAGCATGGCTCGCTGATGGATTATGGGACATGTAGTCAAAAAAGGTTTGATTATCCAAACTCTGCTTCTGCTCCCACCAGGATAACCCTCCTTCGCAACTGCCTGTCACGGCCAGGAAGGTGCTGTTCGCTTTGCCCACCAGCTACTCCGTCACCCGTTGAAATTCGGGGTTATTCACCTTTGAACTCCGGCCCTCCATCACCAGCTTTCTTCTGCTGGGCAGGGACTCCCGGCAGCTGGAAGACGTCCAGCGCAGTGTTCTTATACTCGGGTTTGCTGGAAAGGAACGAAATGCAAATGGAATTAGAAGGTACGGGTGAGAGTAGAAAGCAAACATACAGTGAGATCGGGACAAAGCTATAAGATGCACTTTTATAGGTATTTTCCAGAAGCAACTTATCTGGAACCAGTATCCTGATGGCAATTCAAGGCAATATGCAGAGTAACACACATGGTTCCCCCCTCCGGTGTGTTACTCTCACAACAAGCATAATGTTGCAGCCATGACAGACCAGCAGGCAAACACCTTTCACAAGGTTGCAAAGCATCCTGGCTAAAGAGGTGAAATTGGTTAAATTCTCTTTTCTCCGTGACTTAGGCTGTCCTAACATTGGAGAAGGCCTTTGGGAGGAATTTTCCAAGCCCAGAAAAAGCCCTCCCCTCCGGGGAGATTGAAACATGGACTGTTTTTTTTGGGGGGGGGGGTGTTTTGGCCTGTCAAGCTGGCTGCAATTTGATCAAAATGCTTCTGTGCAAAACCTGTGGATTTTCAGAACACCCACAGACAGGAAGCGCAGAATGAGTGGCAGATTTTTCCACCCCAGAGGCGCCGTGTTTCCCAGAGATGCTTCTAAATCCTGAAGGTCCACACAACGAGGCGGCAGGTGCAGCTACACAAGTTCACACACACATACCTACACACAAATGTTTTTGCTGATGCAAGAACTCTCATTCAGAATCCCAGAAAATGCCTCACTCTGGTGTGGATGAGAATAATTTCCCCACTCTTCAAGTGAAGGCATCCATCAAAAATCCTGGCCCAGGTTGGTCGGATCCTGTCACAACGCCCCTCGGAGGCATCGGAGTTGTCCCCAGAGGAAAGAGGTGTGTGGAGGCCAAGCCCAAGTAACCTGCTGATGCAAGAACTCTCATTCAGAATCCCAGAAAATGCCTCACTCTGGTGTGGATGAGAATAATTTCCCCACTCTTCAAGTGAAGGCATCCATCAAAAATCCTGGCCCAGGTTGGTCGGATCCTGTCACAACGCCCCTCGGAGGCATCGGAGTTGTCCCCAGAGGAAAGAGGTGTGTGGAGGCCAAGCCCAAGTAACCGCTTCGAGGGCGAGGATGGAGAGAAACCC